CATGGTAGTAACAATGTACTGTAATAAACCAGTAATATAGTAGTAACAATATACTGTCACGGTCATAGGACCGTAAGTATGTGGTAACCCACTAACCCAAAATCGTAACATACTGCCACGGGGCGTTAACAATGTGATAACAATGTACTGTCATATAGGACCGTAACATAGTGGTAACATTCTGTCATAGGATCCTAATATGGTGGTAACATACTGGTAGAAACAATATACTGTCATAGAACCGTAACATAGTGGTATGCCGCTGCCATAAACCAGTAACATAGTAGTAACAATATGCTGTCATACGATCGTAACATAATGGTAACCAACTGTCACAGACTAGAATCATAGTAGTAACAATATACTGCCATAGAACCATAACAAATTGGTAACATAATACCATGGGACCGTAACATAGTGGTAACACACTGTCATGAAACAATAACGTGGTCGTAACAATGTACTGTCATATATGACTTTAACATAGTGGTAACATGTTGTCATAGGACCGTAATATAGTGGTAACCAACTGTCATAGGACCGATTATGGTGGTAACATACTGTTATAAGACCGTAATATGGTAGTAACAGTCTACTGTCATAAGACCGTAACATAGTGGTAATCCACTGCCATAGACCAGTAACACAGTAGTAACAATATACTGTCACAGAACCGTTAAAAATCGTAACATACTGTAATGGGGCCTTGACAATGTGGATACAATATACTGTCATATCAAACCGTAACATAGTGGTAACATACTGTCATAGACCATTAACACCCACGTGTATTGGTATGTAAAATGTAGTGACGTTGGTGTAACTGAAAATGGCGGAATAAACAAGAAGTCAAACGTGAAACCTTTCTGGTTTCATTGATATTTCGCGTGTTCCTGTGTCCACACATCACAGACCGTAACATAGTGGTAACATACTTACATATGACCGTAGTACAGTGGTATTATACTGTCATATGATCGTATCTTATTAGTGGCATACTGTCAAAGGTTCATAATGTCGTGGTGATATTGGGCCTTAATATTGTTGTAACAAAATACTGTCATGTGACCGTAATATAGTGATAATAACATACTGTTATAAGGCAGTAAAAAGTGATAACAATATACTGTCATAGGACCGTAACATACTTTCCTGAGGCTTTGACATTGAGGTAACAACAGTTATCAATTTATTGTAAAAATGTTTTTTTTTTTTCCTTTTAAAATTTTTCAAACGGAAACGACTTAGACAATATAGATTGACCTTTTGGCCTTTTGTTAAGTATTCGTCATGGGTAAATAGTTCACCAAAATATTTATTTCAATATCAATATATCACTGCCATGATAAACAATTGCCCGTGAACTCAACTAAATTAAAACACAAATACATGATATGCATACCGATGAGCAGATAACCTTGATATTCAGCGACTCGCTCTGTAACGTGTATACAAGTATAATAAAATCATTACGAGCACGTTTACAAAATCAAATATTGGTAATATTGATGAGGATATCGCATAATATCATAGCCAGTATGTTTCCACTTTTATCATCAAAACATGTTTATTGAAATACTACATGACGATACTGGTAGTATGGTGTTGTCGCGTTTCTACAGTATATTATATTTGCCAGACTATGTGTACGTTGTGAACGGTATGGGAAACTATGAATTGACAAACATTTATAGCGATATATAGACAGGGTATGGGTTGCAATGTCGTATAATAACAACGATTGAAACGATATGTGAACGAATAATTAGAATTTGAAAAATTACAGTCGACAACATGAGGAATATCAGTATTGTCAAAGATTTATAAGATTAGAATATGCAAGTGTTTGATATGCGACCACGCGTTAATTGCAGAAGTCACGCAATATGCGATATGATCACAAAATCGCAAGACCTATATTTTTAGAAAATCCTAATTAAAACTAGTGAGTCTCGTTTTCATCTCAGACAGTTTTTCGTAGTGGCGGTGTGTATTCGTACATTGTGTAAAGTACGTTTTGTGTTTCTGAATGCGGCGATAACCTCGCTCTTTTCCATATACGTAATCAAACATTTCTAAACATCCGTTGTGTTCTGTGACACTATTGGTTAGAACTACGTTCGATTAACACGCACAGAAATATTGTAGAAATATACTTGCCCCAAAATAGCGTAATTCTGTAATCAGTTTACGCTGCTACTCCCTGGTTCGGATTAGAGGCGTTCTCAGTGTGATTTTATTGTGTTCTATTTCAAGCTACTTGAAACCTAAAATTTTGAACTTCCAACACAAATTATATTATGCGTTAGTTTCTACTATTCCAGAGATTGAATTATGTATGACATTAATATTTCACTCACTAAACACTATTTCACTAAAATATGTTATTAAAAACTTTAATTGTAAAAAGAAGTATCAAATTCCGTGTATAAACACCAGTGTAAAGAGGCGGCGGAGCGCTATTTTGGCCAAAATCGGCTAGTAAGGGTCACGCGCCATCCTGCGTGTCACTGTTGCATGGGACTGATGGTAGAGAACAGACACGGGTTTGCGCTGAGACTGCGCTTCCTGTGACGGCACAACGTGCAGTTACTTTGAAACGTTCGCAAATCGCGAAACTTGATCTCATATCACCGTACATAGTTATGAAAGTTGCAAATGCCAAACCATGGTATTTGTTAGTTATAATCTATCCGAACAAATACAAATATGACACAGTTTATAACGTGAATGCTTACACCAACTAGATTTGAATTGTAGTTATTATTTTTGAAATGTTAAATGCAATTAAATTTTGATTAATTATATTATACTTGTTGATAATCGCTGAAGTTTAGGTTATGTGCCGATAGTTTAAATGTATTAAATAAATAAAATATTACAAAATAATAATAAAAAAGTAACAAATATAGTAAAATAACATATATGAGATGTATAAGCTTTGTGGGTATATTTGTCAACTCCATTTAAAAGATTGATTCCGCTCGTTTTTCGATACGAAGTTACTATGGCGACAGTATTTATTATAATGACACACTGTGCTATGCTCACAATTAGTACGTTTTACGGCAAATGTGCAATATTTTTTTTTCATGTGTACAATAGCACGAGGTAGCGTGTGGAGGTAATTATTTTATGAACGCCATCAACGACCACTTGCTTATCATGGTATTTTGTCGCTGGTGGCGATATTTATTCATGTCGGGAACTTGAATTTCTTGGTTTTCGTTTGTTCGCGACGATAGTAAGGTATTATTGTGGGGATATCCGAACTTCATGGAAGATGTATACATTATACTCGTACCGCAGAGATGTACAAAGCGCTAATAACATTTTATTTAGGGTAGAAGTTGACTTATAAATGCAAATAGAATTTATTCATTTTCCAATAAATTGTACTTTCACCAGCCTGATTTTTCGAAAAAATTAGAGTTGTATTTTAGTGGATAGTGGCCATTTTTACAGTATTATAACGCCATTATTATAGGTTTATATGGCAGAGATGTTATACCCTATCCCAAATTGTAGGCTGGTGACATATATAATTATATATTGTGACTGATGGGTACTTTTTGTTGTCCTGAATCATTTCAAAAATCTGGATCTTAAAAAGTGTCAAAACATTTTCTTCAACACTGTGCTCTATGCAATTGCTGTAAAAATAGTTTCTCAAAAAACGTGACTGTAACACATAAAAAAATGCTATGTCATTGGACAGTATCTCTATGATTTTACGTAATAAACCAATAAACATTGTCATGCCATTCATGACCAACTTTCCCAAAAATTACAAGTAGGTTTCTATCTTAATACCTAGTCATAATTTTAAACAAAAACGGTCATAAATCGCATGACAATGTTAATTAGTTTACTGTGTACAATTATGTAGTCCCATGGTACAATGAAACAGCATTATTGTGTGTGTTTTTTGAGAAATGTGTTCTAATATTTCTTGAAATTGCTATTTTTAGAGCAATTCCGAACAACACAATGTTAAAAAAAATGCATTTTTGACACTTTTTAAAACCTAGATTTTTTAAATAATTCAGAACAACAAAAAGTACTTACATAATATTTCTGCCATAGTAACCTGTGGTAAAAGTGTTATAATAGTGTCAAAATGACGACTTTTCGCTAAAATACAACCATAAATTTCTCAAAAAAAAAAAGACTGGTGACTCCCAACGTTTTTTTAAGGTCAATATTCTTATATTGCCTTGGAGTACAGTTTATTACAAAATGAAAAAAAAATTGGGTAATTTTATTTATGAGTAGATGATTAGGCTTCTACCTTAATATAACAAATATTCCGAATATGGAACGTGGCCGCTACACAGTGTAGGAGAAATGACCACGACACGTTGCGAGTGTTTTGGGGAAGGCAAATCAGTCGTAACTAAAATATTAACCGGAAATGATTTTGCACATTTGGTATAAAATTTGTCACAATATATCAATTACTATGCGGTGTTTGATACTGTTAACCGTTGACAGAAAAGTACGAGGGTTGATAATTTGATGAGATTCGTAAAAACGACTTATATTAAATAGCAGCTGCCTTCTATCCACCGTGTCTCCTACTTGTGTGGTTAGAAAACTCTATGTTCGCCAATTATGGCAAAGATTTTCTCTTCTCTCTTTAATACGTTTCTTAATGCCGTATTTGTTAAAACTATGGTTAAACTATGAGGGCGCGCGGCTGAACATTTGACTTGAATTGAAAATATTCAGCAACTTAGGGACTCTTGATTAAACATGGCTGCTCCCGTAAGATTGTTTCGTGAACTTTTTTTTCACTCAACGAGATGCCCTCACCGAGAAATTTGCTCAGGTAGCTAAGTTCCCCGAAGGTAATAGAATACAAACGTTGTTTTAAACGTATGTATTCTTCCCATGAGTGAGCCGTACCAGCACCACACTGTATAGTCTCTGTCCTGTATCCACGGTGCTGTCAGATTGGACGACATTTGCATTCCTTCTCGGCTGCCCACTCAAACACCATGGGTCCTGGTGTAGTAACATTGTTTGTTCACGTAAAACAGTTTCCACTCAGTACATTTGCGTCTAACCTAATTCTGATTCCTCCTGGCAGTGGGTTGTTTAGTTCGACGACTCTCGTGATAATTTGCACTTTCCAATGGGTACATTTAATGTTTATAGAACATCACTATAGATTAATAGTGTCTTCATACATTACTAAGGAAATACAGATGTGTACTAGATGTATATCATGATTGTTGTTTGTGATTATGTTCTTTATATTAATCTGACAAAATAATGTTGTGCCAGTTTGTTTCAATTTTAATGAACTCTGTTCGCTTAATCTATATATATTCACTGTATGTAGTACGGTCAAAGTCTCATTAACATATGAAGTGAGTTAGTTGTATTTTTTTTATTGCAGGGATTGACTTATTGAATGGAATGAGCAAACAATCGACCTGGAATAGATTTTATAAAATGAGACAGGAAAAAGGTGAAAAGTCATTTGACTGGTTTGTTAAATATGATGACATAAAGGAGAGCCTAGAACAGTATATGCCAAATGACTGTGCTGTGCAACCATTCCAATTACTAGATATAGGATGTGGCACATCAGATTTCAGTTCAAAACTGTTCAGTGACATAAAGGCATCAAAACTACTGTACTGTATAGATTTTTCCCAGAATGCAATTTCTCACCTAGTTAGCCTAAATATGGACTCTACAACAAGTCTTGATCACCAGATACAGTTCATAATTGCTGATGCAACCAGTCTGCCGTTTACAAGTTCTACATTTGACCTTGTTATTGATAAAGGAACGCTTGATGCCGTGTTACGCAATGACAATGGTGCAGACATGGCTGTATCTGCTATCTCTGAAGCTATTCGTGTTCTCAAGACTAACGGACATTTCTTGCAGATATCTGATGAACAGCCTGATACACGCTTTGAACTGTTACAACAAATAGCAATGAAGTATAATTGTCAACTCTCTGTTAATTTCAAACAAATTGACACCTCTTTTGGAATGGAGTATTTTATTTACACTATTAATAAAACAGTTTCAAGTTGAAGAATTTGTTGCTGCATTATTTGCAATTGGAGTGGGCTGTGTGGTAGTGATGCAGTTGAGGAGATGATGA